TAACAGCATGCCCTTGGAACTATGTAGCTCCTATAAATATCTTGGAATTTGTGTGAATGATGCAAACTTTGTCAGCAACCTTCGTGACAAACTAATGCAGCGCATTAAATCCCTCAGAACCCTTGTTGGCAAGGGCTATGGAATTAACATCACCTATGCTCGTACTTTCTATCTTCACTTCATTCGTTCTGTAGTTGACTATCATGCTCTCCATCTTGTGACTATTCCGCCTAAACAACTCAACAGCCTTGAGGTAGTGCAAAATGAAGCCATGCGCATCATCCTAGGTTGCCCAAAATCAACCAGAATTGTAAATATGAGGAAAGAGCTCGGACTGCCCTCCCTATCTGAGAGGATAGCCCTACTTAATACCATGTTTTGTGTCAAAGTTTGAAGAACAATAGTTCTCAAACTACAACTCAAACTGAGTTGATGTTCTATCTAAGTAATCCCGACCATCTCGCCAACCTTTCACAAAAGACTCTCTTTGGGGCGTGGCTTCATAAAAGTGTTGCAGATCTCCTGAAACTGAATGTCCCAATCACCCCAGACGAACCTATTAATGCCATTCCTCCTTGGCTGGACATATCAGTTCCTATTAATTACACTCCTGTTGGTAGTAAGCAAATGTTAAACACTGATGTGGTGAGATGTGTCACACTAGAAACTATTAACAGACACATAGAGAGTATTAAATCAAGTGAATGTTATGCTTTTACTGATGGTTCTGTGCAGACAAACACAGGTAGAACAGGCTGTGCAATTGTAATATATAAAGAAAAAGAGATGATAGTGTCAAACAAACAAAGGCTGAACAACTGGGCCAGCACAACACAAACTGAACTAACTGGAATCTACTTAGCCACAGACTACCTCAAAGAAAATGGAGGTGGGGTGATATTCTGTGACTCTCAAAGTGCTTTGAAATCAATGAACAGCCCGTCAGGTTCTATGTCTAAAGTTGCATGTGATATTAAAAGGAATGTGATAACTGCCAATGAGAACAACTTTCGTATCGAATTTGTGTGGATTCCGTCCCATGTTGGAATCAGGTATCATGACCGTGCTGATAGACTGGCCAATGAGGCATGTAAGAAAGAAAATGTTGACCGTGACCTTGGCCTGTCCAATGCTGTAATTAAAAACATTCAAGTCAGAATCATGAACTCTGATCTAGAAGAAGTGAGAAATGCAGAGACCTGACAGTTGTAGCATTAGTAAATATGACAAATTTTGTGACAAGAGGTACCGGTATGGCCAGCATAAGGATAGAACCAGACAATGTGATGTAGTCGTGGCCAGAATTAGGCCAGGATACAGACACATCTGGCAGGTTAGTAACGCTATACCCATACCGGAACACTCAGCATGTAAACTTTGTGATAAACCTTTAAAGCATACACTTGAACACTATATTATTGAATGTGACACTGTCAAAGACTTCAGGCCACCTGACTTATTGTATCTTGAACTATGTAATTACTTCATTGAATCAGGTGTGCTTGAGGACATTCTTGCTGTTTATCCCAAATTTGCTAGCCCACACTGATTAGTCTTCAATTAGAATATGACTCCAATGTATGTGATCCACTGACCCATATATGCTGCTGGTGAATGTGATGTATTTCCTTCTTTGTGTACGAACCTCTGTCCTGCGTGGCAGTGAACAGTGGCATTACCCACATGAATCTGACCTATATATAGTGTCAATGAATATGATGCATTCTTTGTGTACGAACCTCTGTCCTGTATGGCAGTGAAAAGTGACATTACCCACATGAATCTGACCGACGTATATGTATGTATGTGTGCGTGTGTGCATGTATATGTACGTGTACATGTATATGTGTATGTATATACGTATATGTATGTATATGTGTGTGTGTGTGTGTTTACATATATGTATATGTACTGTCAATGAATATGATGCAAATCTTTGTGTACGAACCTCTGTCCTGCATGGCAGTGAACAGTGACATTATCCATATGAATCTGACCTCTATACATTTATAGTTGTTAATGAATATGATGTATTTCTTTGTGTGTGAACCTCTGTCCTGCGTGACAGTGAGAAGTGATACCACCCTCAGTGTCAAGACCTGACTGAATTACTCAGAATAGGCAAACTGTACTACAAGCTCTGCCAATAAATTTGTTAAACTAAAAAAAAAAGCGTGAGGCTCTTCCTGGCTCATTTCTCCTTCCACTCTGTGCCCTCCAGGAGCCGTGTTTTTCCTGTGGTGGAGAATGAACGATACTTTTTCCCTCTCTCTCTCTCTCTCTCTCTCTCTCTCTCTCTCTCTCTCTCTCTCTTAAAGAGTAGACCCACTCTGAGACATAATTTCCTTGTTTTTCTGTGATTAAAACCTTAGAAATGCTGGGACCTTAAACCTCTGGAAGTTGGTGTTGTCAGAGTCGAGCGCTAATTATACAGCTTTTCTCCCTTGTGTTTTGAGGAGCTGCCACGACTTGCTTTCTTAGTGAGTTGTGGCTGTGTTTTGTCTCCTCCCGGCTGAGTAACATACAATCCTTCCCTGACGTGTTTCTGAGAGCCGGGATATGAGATGGATGAGGGAGTGGGAATTTATATGTTTGTGAAAATATGTGTAATCCTGGTCATTATTATTATCGTTCTATCCATCGTTATCATCATCTCGATTATCATTCTAATCCTTATCATCTTCATCATCAAAATCATTCGAATCATCCTCCTAATCATTCTAATCATCATAATCATCATCAAATCCTTCACTGCTTTGAGCTGCTGAAGCCTAACTGACCTTCTGACGCTTGACATGCTGACTCCGGAACGATTCTATGAGCAGCTGACGCCTTGGTTGTTGACGTTAGAGCATAAATGTCAGCCGCTGGCGTCAGAGTTATATTATCAAAGTTACTGACGTCTGTGTTGCCACTACTGACGCATAAACGGTTCACATACTCCTCATGAACACATCAACAGTGAAAGATAAGAGATGAGGACCACCAAACCTTTACCACTGAGAAGTTCGAAGAAAATTTGTCTTGTGATATTGAGAAATGTGTTCGTGTAATATTTACCACAACACAAGAACATTCAAAGTAAAACATAAATATACACAACTTACTCAAAAGTTATCATCATATCACATATTAAATCAAAATATTATTTATAGTTTGCTGGCGAAAGGTAGAACAAGAAATTTGGGAAAATATAAAAAAAAATGCCGAGCTAGAAGGAAGGAGAGACCTGGGAGGGAGAGAGGAGGCAGCCTCTGTAAATATAAATACGAAAAGGACGAAGTGAGAGGCAGGGGAGGAAAGAAGAGATAGGGAGCGAAGGTATGGAAAGAAAAAAGAGAGAAGAAATTGTTGAAAAGGTGAGAGAAGGATAGAAACAAAGGCAGATTGGAGAACAGAGAGAGCGGGAGAGAGAGGTGGGAATTCGAGAGAAATAAGAACAAATTGAAAAAAAGAGGCAGGGAGAAAGAGACTCAAGACAGAAGAATAAATAGCTAGAGAGAGATAGAGTTAGAAAGGAACAGAATTAGGAAGAAATAAACAAAGATAGCAGGTGATAGAAAGAGAGAGAGAGAGAGAGAGAGAGAGAGAGGCAGACGAAGAAACTATCAAGAAAAAGAGAAATGGGAAAAGAGGACAACAAATTTGAACCATAATTTGAACCATGTTATCTAATTCTTTACAACTCTCCAATACCTTTCGTCTCGTCAACTATCTCAGTGATCAAGAAGAAAATATTATATTACAAGACGCCATCAACACGTCACCTTCATCAATACCTCTCATTAACAGTTCCTATTCATCATCTTTCTCTCATTAACACTTTTCTCTTATCAACACGTCTCAGTCTCTCTCCCTTTCTTATCAGTATATCTCTCTCGCCAACATATCTATTATCTCTTCCATGTGTGAGAGAGAGAGAGAGAGAGAGAGAGAGAGAGAGAGAGAGAGAGAGAGAGAGAGAGGAGTATCGTTGCATCAGCTTCCTAAGACTCATGAGACCGGGAGCTGTACTAAGAATGAAGTCAGATATAAATCGCTGAATATTTTCACTTGAGGAATTAAACCACTTCATCTTCTTTGTTTTTCCTGAATTAGAAGTAAGGACTCAGTATCAAATTAAATTAAATATTACACCTGTAAATCTCATTAATTATATCCCCCACAAAAAAAAAAAAAAATATATCCATATGCGGAAGAATTACTAAAGACGAGATTTGGTAGTCAAGTAGCGGTAATATGCCTTCGGTAAAGTAACTATATATATAAGGTTTTTGTTTTGACCGAGGAAGGAAGAGTTTGTATTTCAATTTTCCTCAAAATCCTAAATTTTATATAACTACCTAAAAGTTTGTCGTCGCTCCCCCCCAAAAATGTGCTGGTATTTTACTCCTGTGTGTGACTTATCGCAGTCTTATCGTGTTTTCGCTATACGATTCTCTCTCTTACTCCTGTATGATGTTGTAAATAAAAGAACTATGAAACATAAGATAAAAAAATATCTTTTAATTCATCTTGATTTAAAGTTTGTTTCTATTATATTTTATTAATTGCTTTCATATTTTATGTATGTATACGACAATATATCCTGCTGTGTGAACCTTGTTTATTATTATTTTTGTCATCGTTCTTATCATTATGATAGCCTTTTCCGTATTATTTTTATTATTTTAATTGTTGTATAACAATACACACACATACACACACACACACGAGGAAGAGTAAAAGACTCACTCGTTCCTTTTACTGCTGCTACACCGGGCAGATCCAGCCCCTGAGCCTCCTCCCTGAAGGGCGTGGCGGAGCGAAGTTGTGAGCCGGGGTAAGGGACCTCGGGGATCACCATTTCCTTCCTTCTGCTTGACGATGCACCGTCAGGAAAAATGTTTCCAGACTGTCACGCCGCAAGACAAAGGGAGTGAAGGTATGTGTTGTGTAGCGTTCAGTAGAGACACTAATGCACTCATAACTGGCATCAATACACGTACATACATACATACTGTACATAATAATGGTTGTCCCTCGTGTAACGAGCATGGCCAGCCCAAGGGCCACCACCTAGGCATGAATTTGTTTAAGGTGTAGAAGCTGTCGCTAACACAACAACCACACCCTAAGTCAACGAGTTGCAAGACCCAGTGTCAAGGAATAATCCGAGAAGACCGGACAACCCGCCAACTGCACTGGCTAGCCATTACCCCGGAACACGATCCGCAAATCGATTAACATCCAAGTTCCCAATTACTGCTGGGTGGACAGAGGCAAATGGCGGAAAGAAACTTGCCCATAATTTCACCCTACCCGGGGATCGAACCCGGGTCCTCTCGCTTCCGAGGTGAGCATGCTCACCATTGCACCACAGGTCGCCATACACATACATACATACATACATACATACATACATACATACATACATACGTACGTACGTACATACATACATACATACATACATACATACATACATACATACATACATACATACACACATATATACATACATATACTGTACACACACACGACGAACAAGGAGAGGAGGAAGAAAAAGAACGCCTCAAAGCAAAAAAAAAACGGGAAAAATGAAGAGGAATGTGCTGATAAAGTCAGTAACACAACACACACTCAGACCCATGATGTAGAACGAAAGGAAGAGAAACACCAAAGGATAAAAGTGTTAAAGATATGAAATATATAAAACAGTATATCGCGTGCCACAGCCGACACTACCTCGTTGAACAGTGTCACGATAGAGCCAAACTAATATAACCCGGAACAGGATCCTAATTTTCGTATTGCAACCGTGGAGTTTGGTCTTTAACTCTGCCACCACAATAACTGCCTTCACTACATCTGCCACCACAAGAACTGCCTTCACTACGTCTGCCACCACAAGAACTGCCTTCACTACGTCTGCCTCCACAAGAACTGCCTTCGTCTGTGTCTGCCACCACAAGAACTGCCTTCACTACGTCTTCCACCACAAGAACTGCCTTCACTATGTCTGCCACCACAAGAACTGCCTTCACTACGTCTGCCACCACAAGAACTGCCTTCACTATATCTTCCACCACAAGAACTGCCTTCACTACATCTGCCACCACAAGAACTGCCTTCACTACGTCTGCCACCACAAGAACTGCCTTCACTACGTCTGCTCCACAAGAACTGCCTTCACTACGTCTGCCACCACAAGAACTGCCTTCACTACGTCTGCCACCACAAGAACTGCCTTCACTATGTCTGCCACCACAAGAACTGCCTTCGCTGTGTCTGCCACCACAAGAACAGCCTTCACTACATCTGCCACCACAGAACTGCCTTCACTACATCTGCCACCACAAGAACAGCCTTCACTACGTCTGCCACCACAATAACTGCCTTCATCTGCACACAAGAACTGCCTTCACTACGTCTGCCACCACAAGAACTGCCTTCGCTGTGTCTGCCACCACAAGAACTGCCCACCTACTTCGTCTGCCACCACAAGAACAGCCTTCACTACGTCTGCCACCACAATAACTGCCTTCACTACGTCTGCCACCACAAGAACTGCTTCACTACGCTGCCACCACAAGAACTGCCTTCACTATGTCTGCCACCACAAGAACTGCCTTCGCTGTGTCTGCCACCACAAGAACTGCCTTCACTACGTCTGCCACCACAATAACTGCCTTCACTACATCTGCCACCACAAGAACTGCCTTCACTACGTCTGCCACCACAAGAACTGCCTCACTACGTCTGCCAACACAAGAACTGCCTTCACTACGTCTGCCACCACAAGAACTGCCTTCACTATGTCTGCCACCACAAGAACTGCCTTCGCTGTGTCTGCCACCACAAGAACTGCCTTCACTATATCTTCCCACCACAAGAACTGCCTTCACTATGTCTGCCACCACAAGTGCCTTCACTTTGTCTGCCAATGGCTCGATGCGCGCCGTCTTGACATTAAAAATATTCGTTGATAATGTAGCGAGAGTATAATAACATTATTACTGTGGATAAGTCAACAATGAAGGTTCGCTTAACCCCTTACAGCATCTACAGAGCCTGACAATACTCCCTACAGTAACAATAGCCATCTCCCCTCCTGACCTTGACTGATGTTGGGGATTACTGGCCTCTTCGCCATTAGGCTATTTCGGCCGAAGCTGATGTCTTCTTTCTTCTTCTAATCTTGGTCTTCTTTCTTGCTACAACTAATCTGATGTTCTTGTTTCTTCTTTTCTTGTTATTCTTGTGTTCTTCTTGTTCTTGGTATTTTGGTTACTTCTTTCTTCTTGTTGTTTTATTTGGGATGAATTATGGTATGCATGAGTGATATGATGGTGAGTTAGTGACAGACCAGATGAAATGGCTTGTCAGGTGACTAGTTTCTCTGTGATTTTTTTATTTTTATTTTTATTTTGTCTTTTGTAGCCCGTGTCTTTTTGTTTGAATATATGTTGGTGGGTGTCAGTTTAGCTTGATAAATGTGAGTGTTGTATGTAATGATAGGGTTTGTGATGTGTTTCTCATGTTGTATGTTTTAATTTTTGTTTTATTCATTTTTATTTTTTATTTTTATTTTTTTATTTTTTAAGGCATGGTTACATACATATAATAGATATAAAAAGAGTTCATGCGTGTGTCAATCATAACATGCCGATAAGATGGGTCTCCTTGAGGAAGGTTATTACTGCGTCACTTATGGTGACATTATCTTGCAATAGGTTGGGTACAGTCAGCACGAAGCCTCGCTCGGCAGCTAGGATCACCAGCTGCCGGCGCTCTGGTTCGTACTGGCTGCACTCAGTCAGAATATGTCTGATGGAGAGAATTAGGTTACAAGTGGCACAGATAGGTGGGAAGGAATTGTCAAGATAGGCCCCTAGGTGGGTCAGATAGGTACAGTTCAGCCTTAGTCTGGCGAGAACGACCTCTTCCCTCCTATTCTTTCTATATGCTGAGGGCCAGTTTCCTATATTAGGCTTCCAGGTGTTGTGGAGATCCAACCTAGTCCATTCAAGTTGCCACTTTCCAAATGTATATGTCTTCCCCAAGGAGAGACACGACTGAGTCTCCCAGGGTACATTAGTTGTCTCCCCGAGACCCACAGTCGCTCTTGCTAATCTGTCTGCCTGTTCATTGCCCCAAATGTTACAATGCCCAGGCACCCACACCAGCACAATATTCTTGGCACACTCATGTAATTTATTAATAATGTTGCCCTGTATCTCATTGCTGGTAGTATCACCACCTTGAATTGCTTTAAGAGCTGACATGGAATCTGAAATTACAGCGACATCATTGACATTGCTTGTTATTGCAATGTCAATGGCTCTACTTATTGCGAACATTTCTGCAGAGAATATGGTTGTATGCCGCGGCAGGCGGGAGCTCCACTCCCCGTCTCTGCTCCAGATACCGGCTCCGACGTTGTCTTCAGTCTTGGACCCGTCGGTGTACACGTGAGTATAGGCGCTGAATCCTTCAAGAAATTGATAGAAAAGTTGCCTCAGGAGCTCAGGATGAAAGTCATTCTTCGCTCCCGGAAGCCACGATGTTTCCACATGGAAGTTGGGGTTCTCCCATGGCGGACACAACGGTGGAACGTATCTATCAACGTCTTCGAAATGGATACCAGCACCCTGGCACAAGGTCTGGAGGCGGACAACCGAGGACGGGGACCTACGCAGCTGCAGGAAACGGAATTTAGCAACAGCACACCAACCTGGGTGGTCTGTGCCGCGCTTCCTAGCCGTACTCAACCCGTACCTTAGCGTCAACATGTCCCTCCTGATGTGAAGTGGAGGGACGTGGGCCTCAACCTCTAGTTTACCTACACGTGTACACCTGTAGGCACCCAGACATAGACGAAGGCATCGGTTCTGTATTCTGGTTAGCTTTGCGAGTGTGGTGTTGCATGCCGAAGCATACAACTGGCATCCATAATCAAGTTTTGATCTGATCAGGGTCTTATACACCATTAATAAAGATTTCCTATCGGCTCCCCATGTAGTACCTGATAAAACTTTCAGGATGTTTGTGACTTTAAGACATTTACTTTCAAGTTCGTTAATGTGGTTTTTCCACGTTAATTTCCGGTCAAAATGAACACCAAGAAATTTTACTGAAGTCTGAAATTTAATAGGAGTATCATTTAATTTTAATACTGGATTACTAATGTTACGTTTCTTAGTGAAGACTACTCCTACTGTCTTCTCAACTGAAAACCTAAATCCCCATTGTATTGCCCACTGTTCCGCAGCTTTTAGGCCAGCTTGCACCCTTTGTGCAGATAGCCTCTCAGCTCGAGAGGAGCGCCAGATTGCGCAATCGTCAGCAAACAAGGAGAATTTGAGGTCACTTAAGCTGGGGGCTGGTGATAGGAAATCATTAATCATTATAAGGAATAAAATTGGGCCCAAAACGCTACCTTGTGGAACTCCATTTTCAAAGACAAATGTGTCTGATTTTACGTTACCTTTTAATTTGACGGAAAAAGTCCTGTCCTGCAAAAAATTACTAATAAAAATTGGCAAATTACCTCTCAGACCCAAGGCGTGGAGCTTCATCATGAGGCCAGTCCGCCATGTCATGTCGAAAGCTTTTTCTATATCTAAGAATACTGCAATTAATGTTTCTTTACTGCAAAGAGCTTTTGAGATGTCAGTTTCAAGACTTATTAAATGATCTAGTGTGCTTCTACCTTGGCGGAAACCACACTGTCGATCATTCAATAAGTTGTTACTTTCCAAAAAATACATTAGTCTACGCTTTATCATACGTTCCATGACCTTACACAGACAGTTTGTGAGCGAAATCGGACGGAATGAGTTGGTGTTGTTCGGGCATTTGTCCCTCTTCGGGATCGGTACGACATGGGCAAAGTGCCATGAGTTTGGAAACGTTCTGGACGTCCAGATCTCATTGTACACTTCTAGCAATTTGTCCAGGTTTCCCTGGTCAAGGTGCTTAATCATCTCGTATCGTATACCGTCAGGTCCAGGAGTAGAGCCCTTGCCCTTTTTTATAGCAAAGGAAAGTTCCTCTGGGGAAAATGCTCGATTGTAGCCCTGTTCGTCCCCGTTCTCGAAGTCGAGATGCAAGAGCTCGGCACGATCACGGAACACGCCGAAGCGTGGATCATGATTGGTGGAGCTACTGGCATCTGCAAACTTCTGGCCTAGGGTGTTGGCAATGGCCTGGGGTTCGTCGAGAATCCGCCCTCCACTACTCACCTGTGGGATAAAACTCCTTCCTCCTTTGGATCTGACCCGGTTTATAGCCGACCATACCTCAGAGGAAGGGGTATCCTTGTTAATAGTGGAGACGAACGCCCGCCAAGACTCTCTCTTACACTCCCTGAGAACCCTCCTAGCCTTGGCTCTAGCTTTTTATATTCAATTAAGTTTACAAGTGATGGAATTCTATTGAATAAACGACATAGCCTATTTCGCTCACAGACCACTCGTCGGCAGTCTGGTGTCCACCATGGAACTCCAGGCCTGTGGGTTTTTGCAGAAGTCTTAGGAATTGTTAAGTCTGCTGCGTGTATTATAGCTTGTTGTATGTGTGTAATTTTGGTGTTGATGTCTTGTCCAATGGTGTCTATACGAACGGCTCCTGAGTAGGCCCTCCAGTCTGCCTTCCTAAGGTTGTAGCGCACCTCGGGAGTAGCCGTTGGGGCGCCACACTCATAAGAAATGCAGATCGGAAAATGGTCGCTACCCAGAGAGTCGTCGTATGTAGAAAATTTACAATCTAATAGCAAGGCAGCATCAACTATAGAAAGATCTATAGCTGACGCTGTGCCAAATCGTTCGTCCACTCGAGTCGCACTACCGTCATTCAGAAGAGACAGGTTGGAGTTGAGGATAGCTGCAGCCACCTGCTCTCCCCTCCCATCACTCCGGACACTGCCCCACCGCAAATGGCGAGCATTGAGGTCGCCGAGGATCATTTTCTTTCCTGGCAGTTGGTTAAAGAGCTCCTCAAGCTCACCATCGTCGATGAGCCCGCCCGGAGGACAGTATAGTGAACAGATGGCAACATAGCCAGTCCGAATCTTAACTCTGCACGCCACAGCCTGCAGGTTCACGTTCAGACTGACTCTTTGCTGGGCGAATGAACTCCGAATGTATAGGGCTACCCCCCTTAGGTTGTCTCCCCTGTAGGACGTGTAGTTGTCGAATACAGGTGGGTCGTCGTGACCCGCAAGTAGCGTCTCTTGTAGGCAAAAAACGTCCGGCCGGAATAATGACATTAGTAAATGAAATTGAGCATTTTTATTCCTTGCACCTCTGCAATTCCACTGGATGATACTGAATTTTAAGTCTGAGAGTTGATATGGTCAGCGTTTTGGGCTTTATTTTTCTTTCCTCTTGTTTCGCGGGGGGAAAAGGGTACCGGGGAAGGATCCCCCGCATCAGATGAGCAGTCTTCCGGCTCCAAAGAGCCAGTACTCTGCTCGGCAGGGGCTCCCTGCCCCGGGGGTGTTGCAATATTGCGAAAGAATGGTTGTGGTGTTGAGT